CCTAAAAAGCAAACAAAACTTCTCCTATCCCAAACCCCACCAAAAAAACTAGAATGGAGGGAAGAGGGCAAACAGGGTTTAATGCAGAATAACCAACCTCTATGAAAGCTAGAAATAAGCATAATGTGTTAGATTTTATCAAAAGTAGTGAGAGAGAAGGAATATAATCATTCTAGATCTCCCGGATTCCCTGACCTGCATTTTTAAGAGTATGAAAAAAAAAAAATGTGTATTATGCCTTCTAGTGAATGTGCCTGTATCCCACTCCATCACTAACTTATTAAAAAATGGGGTCACAACATGCAAAGATAATGCAAAGATACAGGAAAGAAAAAGCACAGGAATATGTATGTTCCATACCATTAGTAAAGGACAAGTTTTTAACTTTTCATGACTTTATCATAAAATCACTTTATTGCCACTAAAGTGTATATCAAATAAAACAAACGTAGTGATCATGTGGAGAAATGCAAACCTCAAATTGTTGTGGTAACTACATAAAAGTAGTACAACCACTTTAGAAAACAGTTTGGCAAGGGTGGTGCAACAGGTTAAAGTGCAGCACTATGAGGCTATCCACAGCCACTGCAGCATGAGCTTGATTCCCCCCATGGAGGTGACCCATAGCAGCAGAATTCTCCTGTCATGCCTGCTGCTCTCTCAACTATGTATCTCAGTCAGTCTGCCTGTTCTGTTCCTCACTCTGTCTCTGGTGAATCCTCAAACACCCCACACCTCTGGCCTGTATGTACCCCAGTTCTTGTATGCATAAATAAAAATATAATTTGGCAATTCCTTGAAAAGTCAAATGTAAAGTTACAACACAGATGAGTCAATTCCATTCATAGGAATGAAAATGTATATCCATATAAAAATTCATGCATGAATTCTCATATTCATAATGGCCAGATAGTAACCCAAATGTCTATGAAGTGGTAAATGGATAAAATATAGTATATCCATAGAATGGAATATCATTCAGTTATAAAAAGGACTTGGGTACTAATTCATGTTATACCATGGAGGAAACATCAAACTTTAACAGCAAGTAAAAGAAACCACAAAGACCATATATGTTATGATTCCAGTTCTATGATATATACAGAAAAAGTAAATCTAAGACAAAAAGTGAATGATTGTTAAGGATGGAGTGAAGAATGGGAGTGGATAAACCTGGGCACAAGGGATTCATTCTGGGGAGATAAAGTGTGCTCAAATTATGGTTATGTTGCACTTTTTTTTTTTAATTTACTGAAAGTTATAATGGTGAGTTTTATAGTATTAAATTATCTCTTTGTGTGGGTGACGGGAGGTTATGAAAGGTACTGAGGTCAAAGGCAGTATACATGGCTGAAAAGGAAGAATAGAGTGTCTAACCATGATGGCAACAAGTATGTTGGCAGTCTCCTCTATAGAAACACTCCCGTCAAGTGTGCTACCTTTGGGATAGAAAGTCATACTGAGTTAGGTGCATACATCCAAGTCTGGCAATCCAATCTCTCTACAGATTCAACTCCTATTAACTTAGGACCTATCGGAAAAATGTGCCTTCACAGTTATGAGAAGACTCGTTTCTTGGACCCGAACTTTCAGTTATTCCCTACTAGGAGCAATACAGTACTGAGACGGGAATCAATTAAGTACCAGTTTCCTTTTGAAAATCTTCACTTTGAAGACACTTAAGAATGAGATGAGAATTTGTCTTCAAGTTGATCTTAAGCAAATTGTCTAAGTCAGGCAGATCAGGAGTAGAAATGTCCCATTCTCCATGTCTGGGGCAAAAATACATTTCAATAAGTAACTACTACAAATGTACTTTAATCACAAGAAATTTCTTGAAGGTAAACCTAACTTCCTCTCACTGACAAAATGAAGACCTGTCCAGGGTTATTTTTGGAGTAGTTGTAGAAATTTCTCAAGAGGAAATCTTCTGCTCTGTATTCTGAAAAACAAATTTTCTGGCTCTTGCCTGCCTTGGCACAGATTCCTCAAGACTATGAGGACTATAAATGTCCTCAGATGAGAACCACTACCTCGTGAGATCTGTCCTCCTCTCCTTGTGTGACTGGGAAAGAAACGTGGCTGGTTATCATGATGCTATACTTATCAAAAAAGAAGTAACTTTTGTTAATATGGTCACCGTGAAGCAATGGAATAAAATCTGATTCTCCATACTCAGGCAAACACAGGTAGCAATAGTATCCTCCTTCGTATTTGTCAGAGATTTTTATGGATGCACCCTCCACCCTAGTCCCCCTTGATTTAAATACTTATGAAAACACAAGCCAAGAAGGGGGGGGGGGAGGAATTAAGCTCCCTGGAAGCTGGGCAGAGGCAAGATTTATTAGCTATAATTAGCATGACATTGTTCTACCATTTCTTCTTTAAAATGTTTCCATTTTATCTTTTGCATCAAATGAGTATCTCATATCAAAAGATAAGAACTGCATCTTGGTATGGGATTAAAAAATAGAAGACAGGCCCTCCCTGGTGGCACAGCGGGTTAAAGCACTGCACTGAGAAGCTAAAGCCACTTCCGCATGAGTTCGATTCCCGCCTGCCCCGGAGGTGACCACATGGCGTGGCAGACCTCTCCTGACCCGCCCGCTGCTCCCCTCAGCAGTGTGCTTCGTGGATCTGCCTGTTCTGCTCCCCACTCTGTCTCTGGTGAAGCCTCTCACCGCCCCTGAGCCTCTAGCCTGTACCCCGGTACTGTATGTACAAATAAATAAATCTTAAAAAAAAAAAAAAAAATAGAAGACAACCCTGAAGCAGTGTCCAATAACCTCAAACATTTAACTAGAGGGGCCCTCCCTGGTGGCGCAGCTAAAGCCACTTCCACGAGTTCAATAGAAGCCTGCCCAGGAGGAGATCCACATGGCGTGGCAGACCTCTCCTGACCCGCCCGCTGCTCCCCTCAGCAGTGTACTGCGTGGATCCGCCTGTTCTGCTCCCCACTCTGTCTCTGGTGAATCCTCTCACCCTCCCACATCTCTGGCCTGTACCCCAGTTCTGTATAAATAAACAAATAAATAAATAAATCTTTAAAAAAGAAAATTTAACTAGAGATAGGACTCCCTGGAGGTGCTGTAACAGGAGCAAAGTATCTAGTGCACTGCAGATCATTTACGTAAGAGTCTCCCCTCGTGTAATTCCACTGCCCTCTGATACAGACTAAGAGTTCAGCCTATAAATGCATCCAGCCAAGGAGTATAATCTCTTGGAGACTACAACTAAGGAACGGTGGTCAAGAGGGCTACATCACTACCAAAGCTGCTGGTTATAACAATCTCCGCACCCTCCACTTCCCTGCAAGAGAGGTTCTAAGGAGCCAGCTGACAGGATCAGAAAAATAGGCACTCTGAGGCCAGCCAAGATACTATGGCCTGGACTTTAGCAAACAGTTGCCAAAACTGATCAGTAAGGCAACACCCATTTTTTTTGAAAAGCAGCTCTCCCAGTACTTCCATGAGTACCTGTGATTTGAAGACTGGTTCAATCATTAGAGACCCTTTCTTCAAAGAGGGCCTAACGACAGAATGATAGATGTCTGAGTTCCAATCTGCAAAAAAATTCCTGGCTCAGGAATGTTAGTAATACCAAATTCCAATGTAAGCTGTTAGATGTCTTGGTGAAAAAGTAGTAACTTGCTACCATTTTTGATACTTTATTGTGGAATAAAAGGGATCTATTTGTTTTTTAAATAAAACAGACTGCAGGTCCCATTAAAAAATAAAGGAGTTTGCCAGGGTATTAAAAAAAAAAAAGGAACTTCAGACCTGAAAATTTCTTTAAAAAATCATGTAACATGACCACATAATTTACTGTCCAACCTGGGACACTTTAGGAAATAAGAGTACATTAATACTGATGTTGGAGCAAGTGAGACATATACCAAGACTGTGCAGCACACTGGGACACAGAGGTGTTCTCCAGAGTTTATAGTCATTCTAAATTCTACAATGTGTCCATGTCACTTTGGAGTAAATATTAAATCACAATTAATCCCTGTAACTTGTACATGCAGCTCAATACATATCATACACGATGACAACCATTGATTTTCATACATCTTTCCTACTCTATGTCTGTAAACTAAAGGACAGGAGTCTATAGCAGGCATTATTGTTCTATTGTAATGCTTACCACACACTAAAATTCAGTAAATACAGTGGCTGGATTAAGTGGCTTAGTAAAACTCATAGTTATTCATTCTCCATTCAACTCATAATGTTTTACAGCAGATTTTAATTCACCCATGTTCTTTCTACCCACATCCACATATCCTAGTTTTACTTCCAAACTGTAAGACTTTAAAGCAAGGTATTTATTTGACCTTGTTGTGCCTCAGTTTACTCCCCAACATGAGAATTACAGCAGGATTATTAGGAACATTAAGTAAGTTACTGTATATAAGGTACTTAAACAATGTCAGCCCTCAGTATGCACTCAGCAATCTTCAGGCTGGAGATCTTTATTCTTTTTGATCACTGCTGTATACTCACACACAGCACAGAATAGTGTCGGACACAGAATTCTCTAATCTGTTTTTTCCAGTATCTTGCTGTGTATCCTACCAGAGCTCTGCCCAAACCTCTATATTCTACAAACTCCTGTCTCCCTAGTGAAAACCTACTGTTTTCTTTTTTTTTGAGACATGAATAACTATCAAACTCACTATGCCAGCTGTCAGAACTCTTCCCTTAAAGTAGACTGCACGACACTCCTGACTTTCCTGCCTACCAGCTGTCCAATTTTAAGAAGAAACAATGATTGGGTATTGGAATCAAGTACAGAAGCTTTTTAAATCTAGGACTGAAAGCAAAAGCAAATTGTCCCAGGGCAGGGTTGGGAATAAAAAATGATTATTACTACTTTAAGAAACTACTTTGAGTATATGCATTCAATGCCCTGTACACAAAGTCACAAACCCTGTAAATCATAAACAGTAATACAAACTCAGGTTACTTTTTAAAATAGTTTTACAAAATCAAAATTACCTAAAATTAAGCCCACCATTGTACTTAAATATCCGGTTCCACTTCCCAGGTTAAGAAAAGACAATCCTGGTTGAAGTTTCAATGCTTCCATAACTTCAGAATAAATGCAAGGTGCTGACAAGTGTATGTTCCCATGTTTCCAGGCTAAGTCTTTGTAAGCATTGTCTCGGTAGCCTTCCAAATAGTAATCTCCACGATCAATTGCTCTGAAGGCTTGTTCCACTCTTTCAGTGCGGATATACTGAGCTTCTTTTAAATTATCAATTAAGTCATCGTTATCTTCCCCAGCACTCACAGCTCCTCCCATGATAGCATTCAAATCAAATCATAAATTTTAAAATGTAATAAAATTAGCAGAAATGGCTTCCAATAATGTAGTGTGGTTTATTTTCCTTTTATTATTGCACTTGATTTCCAAAATTAAATTAATCCTGAAAAGGAAGAATAAAAATAAACAGGTTTAAATCAATGCCCAAAGGAAAATAATTTCAGCTTATTAAGTATATAACAGTTACTATAACTACTCTTTATGAAAGACATATTCAGTTCCAGAAATAGTGTTAAAATTCCTGAAATATATTATTCCCATAACAACCACAAAAGTATGAGCTGATATGTACAAATGAAAAATCAAAACACAGAAAAGTTAAATCACTTAATGCTATGAGGCCATAGTAGCCACTAGTCATATTTGGCTATCTAGACCTACACCAACTCAAATGAATTAAGTAAAACAAAAATAAATTTTTAGACTCTAAGACCAAATTATTAAGAAAGGAAGAACATAAATCAGCTAAAAGAGTACAAATATATGGTGAAGGATGGACTCAGACTTTTAGTAAATCCATAGTATCTGCAAATGTTATTAATAATGATATACTCCTGAAAGCTATATATTGTTATTAACCAGTGGTACTTCAATTAATAATTTTAAATATATGTAATTCAAATTCAGCTAGTCACATTTGAAGTGCCTATGTATTAAATGTGGCCAGCAGTTGCCTAATGTATACCAATGCTGCTAGAGAAAGCAATACTTCCAGGTCATGGTCTTTCTCATTTCAGAACCAAGGTCTTTATCATTCAGTCATGTGGCCTATTTCAGAGGATGATAAGTCTAGTTTAATATGCATAATTATCTAATTTTAAATATCTGAATTTAATGCAATGACAATTCCAAATTGCACAAATTTAAAATGTTTACACAAAGAACACAAAACATTAATTCAAAAGGACACTGCACCCCTATATTTACTGAAGCACTATTTACAATAGCTAAGATATGGAAACAACCCAAATGCCCCAAAATATATGACTGGATCAAGAAGATGTAGTACATATACACAATAGAATACCATGCATCAATCAAAAGATAAACTGATGCCATTTGCAGCAACAAGGATGAAGCTGTAAGGAATTATGCTCGATGAAAAAGAAGGAAAAAAAAATATCAGAATGTTTCACATATAGGAGGGATATATGAGAACCAAATAGGGGATAAGAAAAAAATGACAACATAAACAATAAACCAAAATTAACATGAACTATAACTCAGAGAAACATTCTGTAGGGGAGGGAGTAGCAGAGAGATCAAAACGGACAGAAGAATACAAGGGACTATGGTGATGGTACACAGGTGATTGTTGGTGGGACTTTTATAGGAACTAACTACACCTGAGGAGAAAGCATTCATTGTACAAAAATGAACAATGTAAAAACTATATATATACACACACACACACACACACACACACATATAAATGTAATTTGAAAGAATGTTTACACAAAGAATAGTATCCTACTTTATATATAAATTATAAACAAAACCATGCCCAAATGTTTAATGTGTGTGCATATATTTATGTATGTATCTCAAGATTGCTGTACTTGGTAAGCTTTGTCATGATAAATAAGGAGACCAAGCTTATAAACAACTTTAATGGTTTGTGCACTAAGCATGTTATATACAACCATGCACACACACACACACAAATATGAACTTCCTTAACAAATCAAACTCAGCATCTTTCAACATACTTTATGTTTTATTCAATTATAGATAGTGAACTCAAGTTATCAATTTCTACATAAGAAGGAACAGAAACAAAATAGTCATGGCCAAAACAAGAGTTATAACAGCCAACTCTCTGGAAAGACTGTACTCATTCTTAAGTTCAGAGGGGTTGGTAACCCCAGCTTTCCCAGGGTTCTCAGGGCCCCAGCACTGAGCTCATCAGCATTACTGGGGAGTCCCCCTAATCACAGTCTGGCTCGATGTTTGTCTTGTCATTGTTCCCTTGTGGCTTTTCTTATTGTCTCCTTAACTTTCTGAATAGAGGAAATACTGTGAACTCACATCACACTTCTATTTAACACACTAAAATTTACAAACTTGGTTCCAAAGGTTCCATCCAACATCCCCACACCCATAATAGTGATTTCAAAAATAAAAGTGCTTATAGCAACATTCTCCTCAATGAGTACAATTCATAGCATGTGATGCAAAGGATGGATATCACTGATCCTTCTATAGCTGACTATCTGGATTCTGTCATTTTAATTCTAACATTTTTTAATTGTTTTAATGACATGGCCTCTAAGCACAAGTACACTTTTTCATTTGATACTCAGACTGTTTTCCCAAGGGGTATGAAAAATGTGGTCACACTAGATAAGGATAATTTCAGTCAGTCTCCAGTGAGGCAACTGCCTGAGGATTTTGAGTAATTCTGACAATACATAAGACATTCGTCAAAGGTCTTTACTGGAAATGCCATAATTTACTAGAATGAAAAATAATTTACCTTGTTTGGTTGTAAGGCTAAAGAATGAATTTACCTTGCTCATATTCTTCTGTACTCTAACCTAACCAAAATTTCTAACAGCAAAACAAAGCTGACTTTACTACACAGTTCACATTAATATGTGAGAAAAGCAAGAGTCAGACTCAAGTCAGTAAGAACTATAATGTGGCCCTCCCTGGTGGCGCAACGGGTTAGGACATAGCACTGCAAGCTAGCCACAGACTTCAGTGCAAGCTCAATCCCCCGCCAGGGAGGTGATCCACATGGCGTGGATCACCTGACCAGCCCACTGCTCCCCTCAGCAGTGTACTTATTCAATCTGCCTGTTCTGCTCCCCACTCTGTCTCTGGTGAAGCCTCTCACTGCCCCTGCACCTCTGGCCTGTAGCCCAGCTCTGTATGCATAAATATAATGTACTAAGCTGTGTCTCTGTTTCATTAAACATTACATTAAGCCTATGAAAAAGGCATTAGCATGCTCAGTTACAAGAAAGAAACTACCTAAAAAGACAGGCATGTTTCAATATGTGTAACCAATGCTACAGGAGGCTAGAGGAAATCTAGTGAACTAGATTAAGGAAAGCTTTGTGAAAGCATCATGTGCATTATACACTGAGATAGTAAAGGAACTATAGGCTGAAGAAACAGTTTTAAAACAAGAGCGTAGATGAAACTTTTATAAATTACATGTAGACAGATACTTTTCAATACCATTAAGACCTTTATCCTATTGGCCACTTTTTTTTTTTTTCAGACTCTGAAAGCATCTGATCATACTTATGGACTTTCTCCTATTAAAAAAAGAGTAAAACAGATATATTGCCTTCAATTTTGGAAGGAACTTGAAATTCCTAGCAAACTCTAATTTAAAAACATATATAGGCCCTCCCTGGTGGCGCAGCAGGTTAAAGCACTGCACTGAGAAGCTAAAGCCACTTCCGCATGAGTGCGATCTCCACCTGCCCCGGAGGTGACCGCATGGTGTGGCAGACCTCTCCTGACCCGCCCGCTGCTCCCCTCAGCAGTGTACTTTGTCGATCTGCCTGTTCTGCTCCCCACTCTGTCTCTGGTGAAGCCTCTCACTGCCCCTGAGCCTCTGGCCTGTACCCCAGTTCTGCATGTACAAATAAAGTAAAATATTTTTTTAAAAAATAAGTAAATAAAAACATATATAGGCAACAAAGTCAGTCACAGACATTAGAAAGGGTTACACACTGTAATTTGTGTTTCAGATCAATTGTCACAAATGTGAGCCAGGTACTCTCAGGGATGAAAAGCTCATCACTGTGCCAAAAAGAAGTGCAAGACTAAAGAGAGTGTTACAGTATCCCTTTCTCTGTGGTCTGGTAAGAGACGAACAGATCTGAACAGAAAAACTGTAAAGGTATCTGAAAGATACCAGAGAAGAAAACTTTCCAGGAATAGGAAGTTAAACCACTACAACACATTTCTTTAGCACAAATTAGCTCATTCAGTGTACAGGTAGGGTGATGATGTGACTATAGTGTGAGTCATGGTGATTCAAAATATGTTCATGTTTTGAAGTGCTAAGAAGGTGCAAGCTTCCCCCATAATAGATATACCTTGTCTTTTATGAAGGCTTTAAGTAAAAAAGCTGAAAATACAGAGTACCTTCCTATGAGGCAAATGGATGCTGATAAGTGTCTCCAAGTGATCAGAGGAAGCAGAGAATGCAAGTGAGAAACTGTAAAGACATTTTCCCTGAATTGAAACAAACTAATTCTGTATCCAGGCTTCAAATTTTGAAATTTTTATTATAAGAATATCTGCACAAGTAAATGATATCCTTAAGTAAATTGTCTTCCGAAGTCTAAAGTGCAAAGAAGGAAGATGAACCCTAGGGTTTATGACTACGAAGACTGAGGAACTACGAAGCTAGGTGCAAATCCCAATGGAAACTTAGCTGTGCTAGAAATGTGATTAGCACTGCTATTGTTTTTTCTTGAAACTGGTTATGAAATTGCACAGGCTTTGAGTGGGATGCCCCAGTACTGTTTTTTCCCCACAAGTCCTATTGTTTTACAAAACATTAGATGTTTTCAGATGCTGTTGTTAAAATAAAATAAAATAAAAAAGTACTTAACCACTTGACCTCATAAGTGGCCAAGACCCTCCTTCAAATGACCTTGACTTTAAGACTTAAGTAACACGAGACCACACGTAGAAAACAGCTAGCATAAACAATTACAAAATTAAATGAGTAGAACCATGTTTGGCACCTTGTCCAGACATACTGGAGATAGAGTTCAGGCTGGGAATAGAAGGATTGGAAGATATTCCTACACATGAATCCTTAATAAGCACAGGAGGCATGAGGAAAAGATGTCTAGGGATGTAGAAATGACAGTAAGGCAAAAAGCAATATGCCCAGCTCATGGCATTACAAACAGTACCCTAGAGCAAAAGCACAGAGACAGAAAGCAGGGCTCAGTAAGGATAAGAGGAGGAAGAGGAGTTAGGTACACTCCCAGACTTCAAGCACTGAGCTGCAACATCTTCCTGAAGAAAAAGCAAACCAGTATGAGACTGGTCTGGAGAGCGGAGCTGGAGGGTGGCAGATTCACAGAGTCATAATTCAAAATCATAACTGTTGATATGACTTAATCT